AACGTGAAGGGATGGAGTAAAGAGGTATTTGGTCACTTGGGAAGAAAGATCAGACATGTGATGGGTCGACTTGACGGAATCACCAGAGCAATCCTTTCTTCGGGGCACTCTTCCTCCCTTGAGCAGCTCCAACGAAGCCTATGGCTTGAGCTTGAAGAACTCCTTATTCAAGAAGACCTTCTTTGGGCCCAAAAAGCAAGGTGTAATTGGTACTCATTGGGAGATAAAAATACTAAATACTACCATGCTAGAGCCAACGGAAGAAGACGGAGAAACAAAATTGAAGCTCTCAAGAACGAGGGAGGTGACTGGACAGATGATATAGATGAAATCAAACAGGTGGCAACAAACTTCTTTATTGATCTATTCACTCAGGACTCTGATACTTCTTGTGACCTTCAGACACCAGTTACCTTCCCTGACTGGAGAGATGCCTCAAGCTGCTTGAATAAAGAAGTCTCTGACGAGGAAATTAAAGCAGCTATTTTTAATATGGGAGCCTTAAAATCCCCGGGACCGGATGGGTTGAATGCCCTCTTCTTTCAAAACCAGTGGGAAACCCTTGGCTCTTCTGTTACAAAAACTGTTAAGCAGGCTTTTATCGATCCGTTAAAGATCCGGAGCATAAACCATACCTTCATAGTCCTCATTCCAAAGAAGGACAATCCGGAGAGTATACGTGACTTTCGCCCAATTAGCCTCTGTAATGTGATTTATAAAGCCATTACCAAGGTTATAGCCAACAGAATCAAAACCATTTTACCTACTGTTATCTCTCCCAACCAGTGTGGATTTGTTCCCGGTCGAACCAGTTCTGATAATATTATTGTCGCCCAGGAGGTCATCCACTCTATGAAAAATATGACAGGGAAAAAAGGTTTTATGGCCATTAAGATTGACCTTGAGAAGGCTTATGATCGCATTAACTGGAAATTCTTGATGCATTGTCTAGAAGAACTTCAGCTACCTAGTATGCTTAAAAATGTGATTGCCGAGTGTATCTCGTCCCCCTCTATGCAAATCTTATGGGAAGGAAGCATAGCTAACAGTTTCTCCCCCTCAAGGGGCTTAAGACAAGGAGATCCAATCTCTCCCTACCTGTTCGTTATTTGTATGGAAAAGCTTGCCCACCTTATTCAGATGGAAGTCGATAAAGGAAGATGGAGACCCATAAAACTGAGTAAGCATGGCCCCCTATCTCTCACCTATTTTTTGCTAATGACCTTTTGATTTTCGCAGAAGCAACTATGAACCAGGTAGAGACAATCAAGAACTGTCTAGAAGAGTTTTGCAGGGCTTCGGGACAGCAAATCAACAGAAGCAAAACAAGAATCTTCTTCTCCAAAAATGTCAATCATACAAGAGTGGATCAATTGAGTGAAACCTTAGGATTTACCCCCACCCCAGATCTCGGGAAATACTTGGGCATACCGCTGCATCATGACCGAGTCACGTCAGGGAAGTATCAATTTATTATTGACAAAATTCGATTGCGGCTTAGCAACTGGAAAATTAATAAGCTCTCTTTTGCAGGAAGGGACACTTTGATTAAATCAGTGGTCGCTGCTATTCCTAATTACATCATGCAGACCGTAGACCTCCCGGTGAGCACGTGCAATGAGATAGAGAAAAAGGCGAGAGACTTCCTATGGGGATCTTCGGATAAATAGCGCAAGATGCACCTGGTTTCATGGAACTCCATTTGTGAGGATAAGCGAAAAGGAGGATTGGGCATGAGACATATAAAGCAGTAAACCAAAGCCTTCCTTATGAAACTAGGATGGGGTCTTGTGAAAGACAGAGACTCTCTTTGGGTTAAAGTTCTTCGGGGAAAATACGGTTGCGGTGCAGACACTATCCCAACCATCAATACCCGAAAGCAAGGCTCAAACACGTGGCAAGGAATTAAAAAGACTTGGCAACACATACAAGATGGCATACAACACGTCCAGGACCGGGATGGAAACAGTCATGTTCGATGGAGATGGGAGAAACACGGTAAATTCACCATTAAATCAGCTTACAGATCGCTAAACGCCGAGAATGCTCCACTTAATGGCCATTGGTCCCAGATCTGGAAATTAAAAGTCCCTCAGAGATGCAAAACATTCGCCTGGCTCATGGCTCATGAAAAACTACTCACCAACAACATTAAATGGAAACGTGGCTTACACCTGGACGGTAAGTGCAGCAGGTGTAACATGATGATGGAGGACAACCTACATGCTGTTCGAGACTGTTCTCTAGTCCGAAACCTTTGGGATACAGTTGTAAAACTGACCTACCGCAATAGATTCTTCAACACGAGTATGCATGGGTGGATACATATGAACCTGACAGAGAAAGTGGGACAGAACAGCAAGTACTGGAAAGGATTATTCATTGTTATATGCTGGTTAATCTGGAGAAACCGTAATGAAAGCTATCATCCAGCAACTTCCATCTCGTTTGACATTGTCGTTTCAAAGGCAAGCAGTATCCTGGGAAGCATGACTTCAGCAACGACCACGCTTAAAGGTACGCGTGACAGACTACAGAACCAGATACCACCCGGTGACAAAACTTCTGTGGAGGTTGATGGAGCGTACTCTTTCAGACACAACATCGCAGCTTGCGGAGGGGTAATTAAAAGCGCAGGAATGATAGCACTGGAAGGCTTTATGATGAAAATAGACGCAACTGATAGCCTGGTAGCAGAATTATGGGGATGCTTGGTGGGTCTTAAGAGAGCCTGGGATGCAAACTACAGAGAGATAATCCTAAGAACGGACTCGGTAGAAGCAATAGAACTAATCTATGGAGAAAGTAACGACATGCACGAAGACTGGGTGCTGATAAGCGAGATTAAAGAGATGATTAATAGAGACTGGCACGTGGAAATACATCATATCGACCGTCAGAACAATGGCCATGCAGATACTCTTGCTAAGAAGGCCCTAAATGGTGCTTTTGGCCTCCAAATTCTGGGCCCGAATGCACTATCTTACATTTTATCTTCAGTGTAGAATAGCTAGTTTCCTTGTTTTCCGACGTATCAAAAAAAAAAAAACTCCTTCCCTTCCTTTTTTTTATTATAAATTCAAACAAGATAATATTAAAATCCTTTCACTCTCCTCCTTTTCATTTTCCTCTATTAAAATCTCTTCTCTCCCTTTCTTTTTATTAAGCCAAACAGAGCCTAAGTTATCATGGGACGTGTGTGGGCGTGGGAGAGATATCAGAGAAGAGATGATTTTGTAATAAATGGGAACAGCTTTGTTGGGTAAGATCACCAGAGCAGCGTGATGCGCCCGGGGAGACGTGGAAAGTTACTTCTTTTGTAATTTTTTTTAATTCATCCGTTTCCCTTTCTTCTTCTTCTTCTTTTTTTTTAACCAGATTTTATTTATGTGCTTCACAATATCCATATCAATTGACAATTAATATTGACAGCGATTTAAATATTTCCCCAATCAAGTGACATTTATTGATTATAAAATGGCATGATCCTTAATTTGGATAAGCCCTGTAATGTCACAGGAAACAACGATGTATGATACATAAATACATAACTGAGAATATTTATTCACTTCCACATACCACATTTATTCTTCTGAGTTTATTATTTCTCTCTCTCTCCCCCCCCCCCCCAAAAACCAACGCAAAACTCCAAACATGCCAATTTAATGACTATTTTTTGTTACGCCTTTTTTTCCACACAAAAAAACGCACAAATAAAAATAAGACAAAAAGTGGTCCAATTTGGAATCTCTTTTGTTAAATTATTCTTTGAGGACTTAGTTTCAAACTTTATTCTAAGTTGATTAACCCTGCTGCTTACGTTTTCTCCTCTAACAAGCAAGGTTTGAACGTGAGACTGTCTCACATCTGTACTTCATGCCTATTCTCGATTCTTTCACTAATTACATTGTTACTAATGGAAATGCTTTCTTATACTATCTTCACCGGAAGTAGTATAAGAAACTTATTAAATTCAGTAGGGATAAAACTAGAAGCTTATTAAATTCAGTGGGAATAAAATTAGGAGCTTATTAAATTTATAAACAGAGTTACTAAGTTTTTAAAAAAAAATTAATTTTGATAACTTATGTGGAAAATATCTTATAAATAAGATGAAAACGATACTCCCCTGGTCCTTATTATATAGGAGCCATTCTAGGAAAAATTCTTAGTCATTTTTATAAGACTTTTTACTAATTTTAATAAGTCTCAAATATTTTTTCCATATATGCGCATATTTAATAAGAGTAATGAGATAATAAAAATTAATATGGCATTGATATTTAGTGTAATTAATGAGAATAATATTAAAAATCACTCAAATTTTACGATAAATTTAAAACTTTTAACTAGTTTTATTAGTATACGTGAATTAGTTCATGGCTTATTATAATAAAAATGAAAAGGGTATATGTTGATCAGCTTGGGAGTCTAAATTTTGCAAGCTATTCAGGTGGGCACAGAGTATGCAATCGACTGTGCAAGTTCATTAGTTTAATTGTTTTAGTTCCCCGATCAAAATAACTTGCACTCATAAACAAAGAATTACGGTTTTATTTTATCTAACTTACGAAGACCAAATCACAAAACACAATCAAATGACTAATAATTTTGGCACAACCGTTTCGGCCTGTTGAATGAAAATTTAACAAGATTGAAAGCCGAGTGAAACGAAGAACATGGAAAACTCAACAATAAACAAAAAATGAGGATAAAATAGAAATTGAAAATGAAAACATAGAAAAGATTCTTCTTTCTTCCCCATGACTCATGAGTGGTGACATTCACTCTTACTGTGTTCAATTACAAAAAAGTGGAAAAAAATTTCAACAAAAAAAAAAAAAGAAAAACGAAATTGAGATTTCTCTCTTTCATCGGCGTTACGCTGCTGCCTCACAGTTATAGATGCACGTGTTCCGAAGAAGCTATCATTAATCGCTTCTTCCAAAACTTGTAACCTTCTTCTTCCTCCTGCACAGTGTTCAGACACACCCATTTATGAATTAATGCGAACTCTGCTTCATTCTCACCCACTCCCTCCTTTCTTGGGATCTCTTCGACTTTTTCCTGAAGCCCTTCATTTTCCGGATTCCCACCTTACTTCTCGTGGATCTCGTCACTATTGCTCTTTTTCCTAGATCCGATCAGACCCTGCATTGTCCTGGGTATTGTCCCGTTTCTTTGACCACTCATCTTTGAATCTGGCTTCTTGGGTTTTTCGTTCTTCTTTCTGGATTTGTTGCCAAATCAATTTTAGTATGTTCTGATTCCGATTTTCGCTCGTAGCAGGTATTGCTGTTTCTGGAAATGTCTAAATCTTTAATTCAATTGCAAAGGTGTAGACTTTGCTGCTCCAGGAGGTGAATCTTTCTGGGTGGTTTTTGGGGGAACCTCATCGAGCTTCTTATCTTGGAGGATAGCATATCCGATTTTGTATTGTATACTTAAGTGTCAGATGTTGTAGACCCGCTGAAGTGTATATTTTTCTGGGGGTATTTCGGGGCTCATTCTCTGAAACCCAAAACAAGGCAAAATGATGAATAAAACGCTTTTCCTCACTTATCTTTACCTTCTCATCTACATATTGCTTTCCTCTGGAGTCATACTGTACAACAAGGTGGAATTCCCGTGCATCTTTTGTCTCTTACTGGGTTTCTTTTCCTACGTTTGTGTAGAAGCATGAAGGATTTTGTTTTTCTTTTTGCAGTGGGTCCTCTCTCCTAAATACTTCAATTTTCCGTTTCCCATAACACTCACCATGATTCATATGGGGTTTTCTGGGCTCGTGGCATTTTTTCTTGTCCGGGTCTTCAAGGTATGTCATTCATTTATACTTTGGACTTGTTCACTTCAATGTTTGCTTCTTCTATGTCATGTCCCTAATGCATTGGACTGGTGACATGCGTATACATATCTATCTATCTTGCCAAGATGGCAGGTCATGAACTGTATTGGTGATTAGATCGAATCCATTTCTGTTAATTGTATTGGCGTCTGATGGTTATCAGTGGATGTCATCTGGCTTAATTTAAATACTGCAACCAATCAGTCACATCACTTCTGTCCTGTCATTTTCATGGTCTCTTATATTCAATTAGGTTAGGTACATTTTGGTGAAGAAGTTTTTGAGTTGTCTGTTAAATATGCGTACTCGAGATTGATTGCACCACCTTTACCAACCTGATGGGAGTAATTTTAGGGAGTTTAAGCTTGCTAATGTCAACTTACAGCTGCTTTCTAAATCGCTAAGTGCATGCAAGAGTTGCAGGAAATCGAAAATACCGTCTCTACTTCATTCTGCTTTTTTGTAATAGATAAGGGTAATTGAAGTTAGTTTACTGTAATAGTAGGTATCAAATCGTGCTCTTGATATTCTGAGATGGCAAACATGGAGATTTGATTTTGGGCGGTCAAGTGTAATACCCAGTTCGTTGTGAATATGTACAATTAGAGTTGGGAATTTAGTATATGCTTAGAAATATTATCATCCATTTGCAAGATCTTACCATAGTTTAGTTGTGGTCATTAACCCACTAGATTACCATCCAAGTGTCCATTATCTCGCCACGAACATGATCAAATTAAATAATAGATAGCTGATACAAGAAACACTTCTTTTGCTCAAGTTGGTACAGCTGTTGGATTCTTTCCGTAAGTGCATTCCAACTTATAGTAACCAAGGACAAACAAACCCATGATATAGAGGATAATGTCATTGATTTTTGTGTTCTTCTGAGCCTTTTTGTGCCTTCACTTTTATCTTCGAACTCCTTGTTGGGAAGTTTTTCTTGAATTCATCATGCAAATGTTCTACTTTTGTTGGGCACACTGCTATGCCTTGTTGTCAATGTTCCGTATGCTATGCGTATCCATCACTGTCAGTGTGTGAACTTCTGTGACCAACCACTCCTGCTTGATAAATTTAATGGCTGATTATTTATCTTGTTCCTAGAGTGACATAGACATGTTCATGAATGCAGGTTGTGTCCCCGGTGAAAATGACATTTGAAATGTGAGTTTGAAGTGTTCTTTTGCCATTGTTTGGAAGCCGTCTCATGCTTTCCTTCTCTTGTTTAACTGCTTACTGATTTCCGAAAAAAATTTCTTTCTGTGGCAGATATGCAACAAGTGTGGTACCAATTAGTGCCTTCTTTGCCTCAAGCCTTTGGTAAGCACTGTGGCTTTAGCAGATTGAACTTTTATGCCTTCATTATACGTGTTATGCTCAGATTCGTTGATAGAGCATGCCAATAATGTATTTGCGTCCTGATGTTGATGTTTCTATTTCGTTGAGTGTTGAAACTGGTTAGAAACTTGTTCAGGTGAGATTTAGTTTGGTCCCAAAACTGTTAATAGTTAATTTATAATATACAAAGCAAAATGTTCTTTAGTAGAGTACAGATCATTTAATTTGTATGCACTTAGGAAAACTTTGCTAAAGGATGAGTTGGCATGAGCTTCACCGCTAGAAGTATGCTCAAGTAAACCTATCTAAGATGATTTCAGTATTAACTACTTGGTGGCCTGCGTTTATGAGGCTGTAATTGATCACCTATACGTTGGCTACTATATTGGTAAGATTGGTATCATCACAATGCCCATAAATTTGCAGAAGTAGGCAACCTGTAATTCCTAAAGTGAAATGAATATGGTGCTTTGAAATAAACTGGTGGCTCCTTAGAATCTTTCTTCAAGTGTGGACTAATCAATGCAATGTTATCGTCAGGATCCTCAAAATAGGTTATTGGTTGGTTGCTTCAAATCCTTTCCTTTAGCTCTTCCAGAATCTGATTACGCATGATCTAGAATTTACTTTGCATCACTACCAATTGTCCACAGTAAGATTGTTCGCAGAAGCCTTGATTGTTTATGTATATTATTGAAAAATTATTTTGACTTGATCCCCTTTTTTTATTTGCACTCGGTTTTCATGTTCCTACCTCTTTTAATATTAATTTTGAAGATATAATTATGGCAGCTATATTTTTGTGGTTGCTGCAGGTTTGGTAACACTGCTTACTTGCACATTTCTGTGGCCTTCATCCAGATGCTCAAAGCTCTAAGTATGTTATATTGAACATGGCATGTTTCTCTTACTGCCTCAGCTACATTCACCTAATTCTTAAGTTTTCTGTTTCAGTGCCTGTGGCAACATTCGTTGTGGCTGTTTTGTGTGGCACTGACAAAGCAAGGTGTGATGTGTTCTTGAACATGGTGCTGGTCAGTGTTGGAGTTGTCATTTCCTCCTATGGGGAAATCCACTTCAATATAATTGGTACACTTTACCAGGTCACAGGCATCTTTGCAGAAGCATTAAGGCTGGTCCTAACACAAGTCCTTCTACAGAAGAAGGGCTTGACGTTAAATCCTATCACAAGCTTATACTACATAGCTCCATGCAGGTATAGCCCGCTATGATTTCAACTGGACTTATGTGAGATGTTCAAGTTTGACACCGTCCATTATATTTATTGAACCTGATCTGAATATTATTATTGATAACCATCCAATTGATTTATGAATCATGTTCGTCTTGACTTAAGGGAATAACCAATAACTATTCATTCCCATGCATATCACTCCATTTGTTTATACATACTTTATGTATTAATCCTGATGTGTGATTGAAGTAGATGCACTTGATTCAAATGTGAGAGTACCGCGTAGATGTGCTTATACTAATGGCTTCTTTTGGTTATGAAATTTTTATCTGATGTCAAGTCTACATTCGCAACCAGATGGATTGCATAAGTTTTGTTGGGTGAATATTCCATTATCCATTTAAAAACATTAGATTCTTAATTTGTGCTTATACATGGCACTTGCTAGATGAGATGCTGACTTCATTCTTTGACATGCAGTTTTGTGTTTCTCTTTGTGCCTTGGTATTTGCTGGAGAAGCCTGCAATGGAAGTTTCACAGATTCAGTTCAATTTTTGGATCTTCTTTTCCAATGCTCTATGCGCTCTGGCCTTGAATTTTTCCATTTTCTTAGTAATTGGGCGAACAGGAGCAGTTACCATTCGGGTTGCCGGTGTGCTGAAAGACTGGATACTAATAGCCCTTTCAACAGTTATATTTCCAGAATCTACAATAACTGGGCTGAATATAATTGGCTATGCTATTGGTAAGTTTTGTTTGAAACAATATCTTCTGAGTTTTGACCATTCTCCCCCCTTACATATATATTTTTTTCTGCAGCATTATGTGGCGTGGTCATGTATAATTACATTAAGGTTAAGGATGTCCGCGCCTCTCAGTCAGTTTCTGAAAGTCTTCCAGATCGAGTCACAAAGGTCAGTGTCCTGTGTCCACTTATGCAATGCTTCGTCAGGGCTTTTATGGCCTTGTTAAACATGTTTTGCCAGCTCTATACCCAGCTTGTTCCTTTTCCCCGCGCCTTAACAGCATGTTTTAAAGTTAGGAAATTCTATCAGATCTAACATGTATCGTTGAATTAACGTGATGTTATGCGTGATAGCGTAAGTTGGAAATCAAGTGCCATGCAGGATAATCTTAAATTTTTGAGTAAATTGATGTTTTGGTCCTTGACAGATACGCCTTTTCTTGTTTCAGTCTGCATATTTTGACCTTCTCGTGTCAGTCTTCTACAGTGGGACATGTCTTTAATAAAGTCATCTTCATAATGATGTGTCTTTAATATGGCCTGACCAAGAGCTGACATACCTAGCCTTTAAACACTCAAGTAGATTGACACAAGTACCAACATGGTGTGTTCCCAACAAAAGCAGTGTTTTTTTATTTTTTTTAAATTTATTTTCCCCCTTTTCAATCACAACAGAGCATCTAACAGCTTTGTCAGCTCTTGGTTAGGCTATGTGACTACTTCTCTTAACTAGTTTATTGAAGACATAACACCCTGGACAAGGAAATTGTTCATGTTCTTCATGGACCAAAACGTCTATTGACTTTCATTTGGCAAGTGGTATTATTTTATATTTAAAAATTCCTAATATTTGGACCGACAAGCTTAGAAAATGACTGATGCAGGATTGGAAATTTGAGAAGAAGTCATCTGACATATATGTGCCAAATGACAATGGGGACAATGGAGGAAGCAGTGGAGGTATTGGTTCTGCATCTGACATGAATGTTGATGAAGAAGCACCCCTTATTCAATCATCTAGGTTATCTCATATTGGACGCTCGCAGCTAAACAGCCTAGGAAAATGAAAAAACCCAAATACAGTTATTCATTTTGAGTTGAAAAAGAGCAAGAAAAGAGCAAAGGAAAACGAGGAGGCTGAGTCAAAATGCAACCCCCCCCCCACCCCCAAAATTTCCTCATTCTTTTTTAGAAAAAGTTAGGTTTTATAATGGGAAGCAGATGCTTGTTCATTGTAATTACTAGCTACTTTCCTGTGTTGGATGCATCATTATTAATGCTTGGTTCAAGTTTTTGAACCGTTTATGATTGCTTATAACTGACTCTCTTGGAGAACCAAGTTATATTCATTTGTTTCTTCTCTCTAATTGATACACTTTTTTTTTCAGTGTATTCGCCTTTCTTAATCTGGAAGGCTGTGTTTTGCACCAATATAGATGTGTTGCTTCCTGCTTTACTCTGACAGCTTGTACAAGCACTTGCTATTATATCCTTCAAATTAAATGAAGAAGAAATGTTTAGTTTAAATATAATGACTTTCTTCCAATTGCATCAATCAATAGGCTAAGCCCCTATATGGCCAAAATTAAACTACGTTATTTTTAATAAAAATAAAATACATCGACCTCCTTTTCAATTACACGAACCTTTATTTTTAAAACCTGCAATTTAATTCAGTTTTTAACACTATCAAAAGCATTTTCTTAAAAGTTCTAAAATACCTTTTTACTTAATTGAAATTTGTTTTAAAAAAATTCAAAACCTGCAATATTTTTAAATTGGTTTCCTCATCAGCGAAGCCCTGGGGATTAACATACTAAGGTCCTCAATATGAATACCGTATGGTTTGCATTAAAATGGAAAATGCTGCATGGCCGAAATTTATAAGTATTGGATGGAAGTGGCTCAATGGCCAAAAGAATGCAGCGTGCAGCTCACCCAATCATCATTCATGTACTTACCCTAGCTACAAATTTATCTAGGTTTCACAATATAATCTACAATACAATCAGCTAACTAATGTTCTTGCCCCTGGATAAACTCCTTAGACGGAACGTTAAACCCGCAACCATGCTTGTGCTCACGAAAAGCTCAATACATATAATACAGGACAAGTGAGGAGACATTGAAAACACATGTAATTTATGTGCAAAGCTGATCCAGTAGACACATTCGAGTACAGCCATAAATTACAGATATCAACAAAGGGGAAAAGAAAAGGAAGGGGGGAGGTGTCGTAAAACCATACATCTTTTGAAACGGACATGTATACCAAGGAACTTTCTGTCTAGCGCTGAAACATTTTGACGTGTTACGCGAAGAAGCATGGACAATCAAAAGCAAAAAGGGCCCTCGGGTGATTTACAAATAAATCACAAACAGGATAAGAACAACTCAGGCAAGGGAAAAAAAAATCAAATGATACAGCTAATCCCCCCAAAGAGCAATCCTCAGACTTCCAATAAACTGAGAATAGGAGTCAGCATGGTAGGACAGAGAAAGCTCCTTCAAAATAGAAATTAATCAATATGTTGTCCGCTCCTTACGTACAAAAGCCTCCTAGAGGGAACCGGTGGCGCCAATCCAGGGATATCCCTGATGTTCTTGTTGTTGGGATTCACAATCTGAAAAAGAGCAGGCCAGTTTAAAACATACCCATAATTGAACATCCAAGGAAAGGCAACATGAACAAACGTGTATCAGGAGTTTCAATTCGTAATTAATTGAACAGATCACTTATTGATGAAAATTTGATGAAACACGTTGTGGAACCTCACAAGATAGGTAGTCACAGATTAACTCTCTCAATTTAGCATCTCAATTGTCAAAAAGCCTAAGTTGCCTTTCTTTCCCGTCTTCATACAGAATTCAACATACTGTTTTGTTTGGCATGGCACTTTGGATGGAAATGGGAAAGATGAATAACAATGCAGTCATTTTGGGAGACTATATTAAAAGAAATGATTTGTGGAGGACCAAAACAAGAGTTCACATATGTATCAAGAAGTACAAGTGAATTTTTATCTCTAAAAAATTTCATTAATAATACACCTTTTTCAAACAGAATTTTAAAGTATCTTACCCTGCTTTCACCTAATAATAAATTATTTGAGAGATATCTTCTGGTTAATGGTAGACTACTTGAGAAAGAGAGAACTTTAGACTATGATTTCTTAAAATAAATTAAAGAAAGATACCTTCACAACGATAATGGCTATTACACCACAGACGATGAGGAACAAAAAAAGCATGATGCACTTATCTGTAGCCACCTGGTAAACAGAATGAAAAACATGTAAATATCATGAAACCAGTATAAATGAATCTTCATATAATATATATTGCTTGGAGGCAATGGAATGAAGCAACCTGTCTGCCAATTTCTTTCACAAGCTGGGAGGCTTTCTTAATAGAGAACTGAATTGAATCCAGATCATTAACAATGCGGCCCATCTGATCAGTCTGCAATAATTTTTGGACGGGGTGGGTATTATGAGGTCAGACTTATAACCAACCCAGAAGCTAACCAACCCATCATATGGACTCCTTTTCAAAGTATGTTGTGCAAATCAAACTTACTTGGCCTTTCAACGTAGTAGCAGTTTGGGTCCCCACCTCAACCGTTTGATGTACAACCTACAATACAATAGAGTTCAGACCCAATGTATACAATAGCAACAGAGACATATTAATAAAACGTGACTCACCTGCTTGGATCGTTCAATGGCCTGATCAGTTTCATCCATTCTCTTCATCCCAGCATCAATAAGTTCTTGATTTGTCATTGCTACAGGACAAACAAAATGAAGATTGTAACCATATATATGTGCCATAAACAAGCAAAGAAGCCTCAATTAAGAACCCTAAGTAGCAAAGCTACAAAAATTGATGCCTGAAGTGTGCGCTGCAAATACTAGTCTATGAAGTCATAATTATGTCAATGCTCGAGGGTTACAAGTAACAACACAAAACACATAGATGTACAGCGAGACTAGTTCCAAGTTACGTAGCACCATATTGCCATTATCTCTTCAGTATCTGCTGTAATTTTAGTCAAATCGGATGCATGACCTCTAAACTTGATTTCCTTCAAACAAGCCTTCATAAAATTACATTTGCCAACCAAAATTAAACTGCTGCTCCCACAAGACCATCAGAATTAACCAGAACATATAGCATAGCATGCAGTTTGGGACCAGAGACACAATTGCATTAACAAAATCTACCAAGACAACTACCATGAGTTATAAGCTGTGACATGAAGGAGTAACATCTTACTTGATGCCAATTGAACATTTTCTTCAGCTGTAGGTTCACTAGATCCAGCTCCCATGTCAAAAAGTTCAAGTTTCTTATTGCCAATCGTATTCATATACCTGTCAATAATCCAAATAGCCGCATAAATCATTCAAATGCCAAACAATAAATTTCATTTTTAAGAAACAGATTATACCATTACGTTAATCCTGTAAACTTGATTCTTCAAGAAATACCAAAATTAACACAGACATAATCCCATTAATAAGTTATGAACAATATGACTCATAGGCTCTGGGCAATGTACGAGTCCCACATCTATCCAATTTATTGTAATTTTGAAAGCTGAACATGCAACTAGGAAAAATTGTTATTGAACATTTAAGCAGTTCCAATACTTTCCAATAAATTAATATTATTTTGAAGAAACACTTTTTCAAATTGAAGATATATGCACATCCAGACACATGCGCATTATTTTATAGATGAGGCAAACATCATTTATCATCTTGCTTTATTTTTTATTTCAATAAAAATGGGGATAATATTTATTAAAAAAATGGGGATAATAAAAAGTTGCAAATTTTCAGATACCTACTTACTACCTGCTATTCCATTAACTAGACAATGGAGGTATAATGAATCTTCAAATAATTACCCATTACCTATTACTAATCATTCAGTTATCCTTGCATCTATATTAACGTATAGTTTTGGTGTCTTAGAAGTACTGGCTTTATTTGCAAATAAACATTATTATGAGGACCCCATCATCAGCCACTACTAACCTTCTTCATAACTACTCTGTAAACCCACCATGCAATATACCCACTATTCCATTATGCACCACAATTATCCCTCTTGATTATTTGAAATTATTTAACTTGCAATTCTGCAAATAGAAAATGATGGCATCTAAAACTTTCAAAGCAACTAAGTCATTTGAATAATGATGAAGGTTATCTTATTTGTTCACACTTTTTGATAATGTGATTATACAATAGAGCATGGCAGACACCAAAATCTCACAAAAACATGCGCTCCTCTAGCCTATGTACAGGACAAAGAGAGAAATTTTTCATATAAATATACAATTTTGTCATTCATTTATTATTGTGTTCACTGTTCTCATAGGGCATAATACATATTAAATAAGGATAAAGTTGGAAAGAAGTTGAATTTTAAATGAGTTAATGGAGTTTAATGTTTTTTTAGTCTAAGTGAAACATGTTGGAAATGACTTATAAATAGAACTAAAAGAGTATACTAGTATAGAAACACTATGACTTTGACAGCTTAGCATTCTAACACGAAAGATTGGTATTAAACATGCAATTTGTAATACATCCATAAGAATAAATTTTATTCAGTATTCGTGTGAGTGGGTGAACTCACGTTTTTCTCAAACCCACGTAAGAGTTTAGCTCCTTGATCTGCAAGAAAAATGAAAGAAAACATGACTGGGCTGTTTGTGTGAAAGCATATAAACACAAGCCCAAAAAAAAAAATCAACAATCGCCAGACCTAATGCCAATTACATCAAAATCATTTCTGTGAATCACAAGACACAAATTGGCATGCTTTTTCAAACGACTGATAATACCAAAAGTTCTTGAGTGGTGCACTTTGCAGAAACCAAACAATTGATAGATAGAGATAGTAGAAATATGCAAGTAACCAAGAAATTCTGCAATATATTTGATCCTTTCCCCCTTGAAAATAGTCCCTAAAAAAACAAAGCCTGACACCTATTGAACCACAATTTTTTTAAAATGCAGTCAAAAGTTAAAAATAAAATGAACTTGATTGCCAGTGCACAATTATGGAAAATCTTGCATCCCTTCTAAAGTTTGCAAGGTTAGATTCCCGGCAAAAGCAAAACAGAGTGAAAATAAAAAAGAAGCCCTGGTATTGACCATTGATTGTTTTTCGTCATTTAGTTGCTTGTTCACTTCTGGAGGATTTCTGCCCTCTTCTTCTTTAATTTCACGATCAAATTCTTTTATCAACCTGGACCAAATCACAACATAACAAGGCTTCATGTTTAATGAATCACAGTATGCATGCCAAAAGAAATTGCAAAATATGTCTGAACCACAGAGAATTTTATTTGCTTTGCCACTGGAACATGCATGATGGCAAAACACTCCTGCCTCACGGTCAGAAGTCTGGGAAGCAGAGACACCCCAGCGTGTGATTTAAGGAACACCGAATTAGATACAAGATTTCTACGTGGAAGAAATTCAGGCATACTCCAAGTGTGTCATGTCATTTATACTATATCATACACCAAGTCACTCTACATGAAGCCCAATTATTGTCCTTTTTTCCAGAAATAATTTTGCAACATATAAAATATGTACCCATTAGCAATTAGTGGAAACCATTCATCGAGAGAAATATGGGTAATCAGTTGATGGAAGAAATTATTAAAATATGGAGAGAAATATAAGCTCGATTTGATGTGACTCAGTATTCTTTATTATATTAGAGTATAAATCACATGGCCCTCTAGGATATATAAAAATTTCTCTAAACAAAGGGCAAGGCCGCACAGCAGCTGCATCATCATCAATTAAAACGGCAGGTATTTTACCACAAGTATGCTACCACCAAAAAAACTTACATTATTATAGTCAATAACAAACAAATAATTTACACAATGCAAACCTAGGCGAAATTCAAAAGATCATTATTTCATGTCAAATCTGCATTTTCCTTCTTATTTAGCTAGAGCTCAAGTGCAAACAAGAGACATCAAAATCAGTAGATACATGGCTCACCTTTTGCATTCCCTCATTTTCCCTGTGAGTTCTTCCAGTTGTTTACTTTGTCTATTGGAATCTTTAATCTTATCAAGCTTCTGAAAGCCATTTCTGGTTGCCAAAAGGTCAGAGCGTTAAATGCAAATTGTAAATATATGACTCAATAAAATTGCTTACATTCAAGAAGTGTATCTACTAATTCTTAGAGGATGGACATTTACTTGGAAAAAATTCAATCATGAAAAAAATTTTAAGAAAAGGTCACACCAAAATAATAAAAGTGTAAGCATTGCATACATGACAGGTGTAAAAATGCACTAAAAACTTAGATTCAGAGGCGCTGGGGAATTAAGACAGGGGTTTCACTCTGTTTCTATTACAACGCTCTCTGGGTTTAATCCAACTTAATCATTTATACAAGCCTAATGGGGACAAAAGTACAAAAAAGGAAAGAATGTAATTTGAATCTCAAGTCAATTTCAATGACTGGGAAGCAAGCAGAGAACATAAGGAAAAATAAGTGCCTAATAAGTTGAGAGTAGTGGTGTAAGCGATTTGGAGTGGGTGAAAAGTAGGAAAATAGTCTAGTAGCAGCCACATCAGTCATGACAACATCGTATATGCTCAAACTCAAAAATATGACATCACAAAAATTATCTGGCATATAACTCTATCAGTATTTACTCAAACATATCGCAATAGGCTTCTTATGCCCAAAAAGTTGGATCGGAAACCGGTCAAATCCTAAATGAAAAAGGCCTCCTTTTGTTGGGGGGGGGGGCTTATAAATGCCAACATCTAGCTATGATTATCCTTCAGCTTTGATTTTTACTCAATAATAATCGATATCAAAAGTAAAGCTTTTAAGTTTAGCATGCTAACAAGTAACGAGCAACTAGAGGTCCGAGCTTATATGCTTTGGTCCTTTGCACTTGTGATATCCAAAATCTCGAAAATTAGGCATGTCAATTACTCCTCTAATCCCATGCCATTACCTCAATGAATAAAAAATCAGGCATACCAATACTGGCATGCATAATAAGGTACTTCCATTACACTTGGTAGGAAACAAAGTAATTACTTGGCTTCAGAAATAAAAGGCACCTAAATTTTCAAAACGACGACCTGTTTCATAGCCAAAATACTATTACACACTAAATCAAAAGATGCTTGAGAATTAAAAGGATGAACTTCTCGATCGAAGCCAATGATAATTATACAAGTGATAATCGCGTTGATATCTAGGAGGCATTCACCACAAGGATACCACCTTGCATTACATAAAGTCCAGGAGAAAACCTCGAATTAGAGTATATGATGAGTAATGTGGCACAGAAATCTAAGCGGAGTGCGCGATCAACTATGTGAAGAAAGAATGAATATATTTGAAATACATACGCGAGAGCACGGAAGTGGTCACGAATTTCACCGTGGATCTGCTCCAACTGAGGGCTCATCTGCAAGTTGGTGGCCATGGCTGACGGAGATTAAAGTGTCCCACCAAAGTCCCGGCAAAAACTGAACCCAACAGAAACCCTAACTCGTCGATTTGGCAACAGGTTGCCCAGGATGGACCATTGATTTTCGAGGGGAGAAAGGAAGGCAGAGCAGCGAATCAAAATTGCACAGGAGGTTTTGAATTGAGTAACGTGGAATCATGGGAAGGGGGGAACAAGGAAGTGAGGAAGATAGGTAGAGACGAGGAAAAAACAGCTGTATCCTGTTCCAATCGGGAAATTAATTTGATTTTTTTTCTTTTCGCCAATAATTATAATTAATATGTACTAAATCATCACTTTATATTTTCTTCTTCTGCTCTTTCCCAGCACATCAATGTGTACATATGATCAATCAAATATGAATATGTGCCAAAAAAATCAGATTATGATTTACCAATATATTAATGAGAAATAATTAACAACTCTTTTTTCTGCCGGAAATTTATGACTCGTGTAAGTGATATGAATTTCACCTGAAAGCTACAATTTTCAATAAATAATACAGATAATATGATTCATTAAGGTTATGAAATAATATGATTTATTCAAAGACATATGTGAACTTGAATTTAAAATCATAAATATCTATATCAACATCTAAATACATAATACAATATTTAGAAAACAAAGTTAAGAGAGAATATAATTCATTTTTATCAATACGTACTTATGTAGTATAAAATCTTTTTTTTTTAAATAAACAAATTAGGTAGAATGAACAGGATTGGTCTAAGTGGTAAGCGACTTAACACTGCTTAAGCGAGATCTCGAATTCAAGCTTCAACGTATGCAAAAATCCTTGTTGGGAGACTCACTCACCACACCCATGTACACGATATGGGTCGGATCCAGATGTAGTCGGAGTAAAATTCCGGTAAACTGGATGGATAACAAAAAAAAATTAGGTAGACTTTCTTGTAAGGAATCATGCTGCTCACAATCAGTATAAAGAGTGATCTATGATAAACTTTGGAAACCAAAAAAAAAAAAAACTTTATATTCGGCGTTAATATTCTCCAACTTTATGCAACATGCGCAAAATGGTCCGTCATTAATATTCATTGCTTGGAAAGACTCCAAATATGACTGTTAAGCTTTTGGAGGCATGAGATTGATTTTTTTTTTTCCCCTGAACATAGATATTCTCTAGTTTGAAATATTTTTGTTTTAAGTACTATCAGGTGCTAAATGTAAATATATTTGTTAAGGAGAGAATATGAGATACAAGCGTAAAATAGACTTCAACAGGTTCATGATTTGGGCTATCATTGGTATGGGCCGGAGAACTTGGGCTCAGCATGGGTTAACCATAAGTCTGAGCCCTTCATGGAAAAAGAGGCCCATGCCAGATCTAGTCCCCCAGTGCCTGCGACTACGAGTTCCTTTCAGGTATTCCTGAGTAGGCCATCCGCAAATAAGTCTGTTTGTTTCATGTGAGGAGTCAGGAGGACCTATGATAAAGATGCACATATAAAGCGGCCCGATCTTATTTTTTAAATACATTTAATATCCTGATTTTTATTTTATATGATATATTCAGTATCTTGATTTTATTTTTATAAAACATCCAGCACTTTTTATATCATTTTTATAGTTACAACAACACCTAAAAATTAGAGTACTAGACATATTAAAACATAAAATCAGGGTACTGAATAAACTATATGTTGATTGTTGGATGCATGTTTATTCTTTATGTTATTTTAATTGTACAAAATATGTGATCTCGTCATTGGACAATGGTACGAATTACTAATTTAAAGTTGAATTATTCCATTGCTGTGGCGAGAAAAGAACTCGAATTATTATATAATACTAATACTAATTTTTGCAGAACATGTTGTCTATCATTCCTTGCTTATTCTACTTGCGTCTATTTTTATCTTGCTTATTCTGATTGCGTCTATTTTTTTAACTTTATTTGTTTTGCCAATTTTTAATTTTGTTTATTATTACTCTCCACTCGTTTAATTTTCTAGTTAGGCTTTTAACCTCTATAAATCATTAAATCGCTCTTTCGCTGTCTTTCATATCACCAGATTATTTAGTACTCCTCTGATCTTAAATATAAAACTTTTATACACACTAATATAAAGGTTTTATATTTAGAACTACAAGAGTAGAAAATATTTTTGCTGCTTGATCGATCGTCCATTATTTAAGTTTGATGGCCTCTTGCAGATTTGGATTCTAAGTTAGTAGCATTGAAATAAAATTACAATATCAGACTTTTCAAATAAAGAAAAATAAGACATCAATTTATAATTGAAACATTGAAGCCAGTGGGCAAAAACAAAAACAAGGAACAAAAGTATAATGCAACGTAAGAATAAGTGTACTTTAATCAATTTATATAACTAAGATTTTGATCTTAAAATTTTCAATTGAAATTTCCTCCCTCTATTTTTTAGTATGAATCAAACTAAACCATAGGACAATTCTTACGAAGAAAAATTATGTACCCTTTTTTTTTCCGCTAATTTTTCTAAACCTGATGTAATTCTAACAAAAACTAAAATATTATTACCCATAATAAATTTAAAATAAAAGCTGATAAGGCAAAACGGGATTACCCATGAATCCAAAAGCTGCTGAATCATATTCATGGAACTCTGAGACGATCACGATAATGACATTGCTCCAACCAGGCATCCACGAGAGGATAATCGAGTTCTGTACCATTAAAATTGTAATTTAACATAACTCGAAACATTTGTTTATATTATCAAAGTCGTTTAATTAATTGCTTCAATTGAATATTGATTGACGGCTGCTTTTAAGTAGTTTAGAAGCGACAAGGTTAATTGCTTTATTTATTTTTTAAATATGTTTTGCTAAGCAAGTCTTTCAACTTAATTTATTCCCACGAAATCATATTTAACAAATAAAAAAACACACCACAAACCGCCATTAATTATAAATATGATGTTTCATATTAAAGTTTTAATAACTTTTGTATTTTTAAAATAAGAATGAGAAGGGACTGCGAAGAATCAGAGGAAAAAGGGCCCCAGAGGGAATATAAAAAGGTATTAGGTTTGTTATCTACCATGAGTTATAAAAATAATTATTATTAAATATCATGTCATGGTCGCATATTAATTTGTGCATGTAATGTATATTTCAATACCATTTAATTTCACTTGTATTTGAATTAAGATAATGATGTCATGGGTAGGGGAAAAAATTTTATTATTGCCAGGTAGTTATATTTTAATGTTTCACTTTTAGCTGATAATAGCATCTGAAGTAGAAGTTAATCAATTTTAAATTAAAAGAATTCTCTTTTGGTAATACTCCTTTTGTCCTTAATATAACTATAACTGTTGAGTTGATTTTGGTCATAAATATAAAACATATTTATTATATTTATTAATTTCTTTCAAATTATCCATATTTATACTCCTTCAACCATAATCAAGTAAGAGAGAAAAGGAAAATATTAAGAAAGATGATCATGGTATTTTAAAAAAAATATATTATATTTCTTAAAATTAACTAACTTCCTTAGTTTTCTTAATCTAATCAGATTAATTAAATAAATTTTATAGTAAGAATAAGAGAAGTACTGTGTTACCATTACTAACTTTTACAACTACTGCCAATATTTAAGCAACATAACTTTAAAATAATAATGGTTTCAAAATAGAAGCAAAAACCCAAAATACTCCTCCGGTCCTTGATACAGGACCTAACTATTGAGTTGGTTTTGGTCCTAGATATAAGATCCATTTCTCATATTTATCAATTTTCTCTAAATTACTCTATGGATACTCCCCTAACCATAATCAAGTGAAAAAGGGAGACAGAGTATTAAGAAATATGATTATAATGTTTTAAGAAAAATGTGTCATATTTGTTATATGTTAGTTAATAGTTTTATGAAATTCCCCAAACTACAGACAAGCTGGCTAGTTGCATATTGGCATTCTAAAATATAAATTTAATCTACGTCATGTGGTCAGTCACAAAAAGTATAAGAAATGTTATATATTAACAATAAATATTAAAAAAAAAAACAATAATAATTTTCCCTTTGGAATTTTTGGTGCGGGGCCAAATCCAGCAAGAGCGGCTTGGTTAAAAAAATCAAACCGGGCTCTAGATTGGAGCCCCCCGGGCCTACACCCACCAATTAGTCTAAGTGGTGAGTGGTGAGTATTGAGTCCGACGGAAAAAACGAGTGGTGACTATTGAGGCTGGTAGGTCACAACAAATCGGCAATTGGTGACAAATAAGAGTTGATCTAATTAGTAAATAATCAATTTATAACTTATAAGATTATAAATTAGGATCTTATTATTAATTTAAAAATTTTGTTAATAGATAATTTGTAAATACCTCTGCAAATTTTTTTTTTTTGAACTCAGAAGTATGCATGACTTCAATATACTTCTGAATTCAATTCACCACCAATTAAAAAAGTCGGTGATTGATGATCGGGATGTAATTGCATTTATGGTTCAATTAAACACACACGTGGTTTTCGGACCTTTGCCATCTACAACCATTTTGTCCTACTCTGGTACTACTCCTTTTAATTCCATAATTATTACCACTACCTCTCAGCATCAAACGGCAAACATTTTAGTTAGTTTGGATCTTGTTTGATAAGAACAGAAATTGGGGCGGTGCTTCATAAATGCATGTGAACAGAGACGAGGGCCCTGGGATTCACATTTTGGAAGAGAAGTGGGGTCTTTTGCAGATAAGATATTTGAATTGAGTACCACCGGCCTGTTGGCCCAGTGGTGTGGGTGTGTGCGTGGGTGTGTGTAACGCGGGTTCGATCCCGCCCTCCTGTAACTCAAAAAAAAAAAAAAGATATTTGAATTGAGTGTTATAGACACCACACGCCCATACACATACTCGGGACACCATCATATAAATACCCACGCCACAGCACTGCACGTCTCCCCTCCACTATTTGAAAAGAAGATAAAAATGTCAAGTGCCCGATTCAAAATAAAATTATCAGAACATACCAAAAAATTAATGCCTAGGGACGCGTACCAACCCTTTCTTCTGTTCTGGACCACTTTTCATGTTCCCCTCCACGCTTGGGTGACCAATGACTCTTTTATTTCACACAAGTGTTTGACATAAAAAATAAGAAAAATACACGCCCTTCGTCACTAAAACTCATCTCAATTTTGTACTGTTTCATTATTATGATTTTCATATGAGCTTATG